AAAAAAAAAAAAAAAAAAATCCTCCTTAAGCTCATGAAGGGACCTAGGGCTCCCTGGGAATCACATGGGATGTCCTCCTTAAAGACTGCATTGTACGTATCAGTAGCTCATTTCCTTCTCCTGCTGAGTAACAGCCGGCTGTATGGATAGAACACAGTTTAGCCATTCTCTACATGGGCACGGGGGCTGTTTTCAAGTTTGGTTATTATGAACAAAGTTGTTGTAAACATTTTTGTACAAGTCTTTTTCAGACATGGGTCTATTGAAATGTCATTTCTCATGGGTAAATACCTAAGAGTCGAATTACTGGCTCACAGAGTAGGTATGTACTTAATTCTGTAAGAAATTGCCAGAACTTTTCCGAGAGTGGCTCTACCATTTTACACACCACATCCCTATCTGTGCTGGGTGTCTAGTGGCATCTTATTAGACTGAGCCTAACTTACATTGCAGTGAAGTCCAATTTATCAGTAAGACAAACAAGTTGGAAGCTTAAGATGCTACACACAGACTCACCATACGATGTGGCGGCTTCCCCCACAAATAATTTACCCGAGAGAAAAGAGCACATATGTCCACACAAAAGTCTGAACAGAAGTGTTCACAACAGCCCAAACCTGAAACACCCATAGGCTCATCAGCAGGATGGCTAGAAAACTTGGATGACAGCACTCAGCAATACAAAGGGACCAGGTGATAGCAAAGACGTGCTGAGTGAATAAACCACTAACCAGTACATGCTATATGATTCCACACATATGAAATTATAGAAAGTGAGGCCAGATGCTTGGTTCTGGGACCTGTTCTGAAATCATAAGCTGTACTACAGTTGTGTTATTAACCTAGCCCCACGTTCTCTTCTTTTGTGTTTTCTTAAGCCCTGTGCATGACTCATCATTAACTTTGCGCTTGTCACTCTACCCCATCTGCACAATGATTATAAGAATCTGATGAAAAACAGATGATATCATTTTTCTTAAAACTATCTGATGTATACCAGGTCCCAGATGGCGCTTCACTGTCCGGGAGAGGGTGTACCTTCAGTGGTTTTAAGACTGCCCCCTCGTTTCAAGAAGCCCATAAACTTCCCTTCACATACTCACATTCCCAACCACTCATATGTAAACTGCCCCTAGATTCAACAAAGCAACGCAGCTTTGGGAATGACCCCCTGCCCTTCCGAAAATAAAGCTTGCTGTGCTTCAAAGCCACTGTCTCAGTCATTAGCTTACTGTGCATCCGGTGCACGAACAACAGGACAAATCTCCACAGGTGCCTGGGACTGGGGTGTGAGGGACTGGTTGTGAAGGAGCCCACGGCAACATCTCTGGTGAGGGAGAGGTTCCAGATCTCTACTGTGGTCATGGTTACATGGGTGCTCATGTGTGCCGAAGTTCGTCAAAACGTACACCCAAAGGGTTGCATTTTATTTTATGTAAGTTATACCTCAATAGAGCTGATCTTTAAAAAGATGCAAATACTGTTTCTGGCTCAACACATCTTCAGTAAGTAATCCCCCTCTTCTACAGCAGCACCACCAACCGAGTCACACCTTTGCCTTGTGTCTACAGTCTCGGAGACTGTCTCCACAACATAAACACCCTCTTCATTCTCCATAGTTGCCTGCTTTGCCACTTCCCTGTACTGAACACGGCAGAAACTTCAGAAAACCGTATCTGTTCACTCATTCACTCAGCCGGCCAGGCAACAAGTGTTTATTGTGTCTGTTAGCTCCAGGCACTGTGTTAAGAGAGGCTGGAAGTGTAAATAAGACACAATGTCCACGCTGTATCTTAAAAGAGGCAGGGAGACACAAAGTGCAATCAGTACAGAATGGCATCAGTAACTGGTTGTGCAAGTCTAAGTCCTCGGGCACAGTATGCCCACAAAGGAGGGATCCGTGTCCTCTCCAGGGTCAGGAAAGGGTACAAAGAGGTGCCGTGTGAGGTAGGTCTCAAAGTGCTGATGGAGGAATGAGGGAGCACATGGAAGGGCATCAGAGAGATGAGGAAAACGGATGAAGGAGTATGGCGATGGCACGATGAGCAGACCTGGAACATGCGGAGCCCAGTCACGGAGGGCGAGCTGGAGCTGAAGGTCCTGGCCCGGGGCAGCGCACACCCCCCTTGTACACCCGTACGTGGGACTCTGTCCGCAGGTGTGGCCTCTGACACCTCATTTCTCTTCCATGGGAATGTAAAAGTACAGTTTCATTTATTTAAAACCAGTCACATACTTGAACGTGTTCATCTGCCACGACCTGCCAACTCCAATTACTCCTTCAGAGACAATAACGCAGAAGGAAAGCGATAACGAACTCCGGATTTACCTGACACCCGACCGGGGGGGGGAGGCAGAACCGCCAAGGGGTCACACACGATCTGTAAAGGTCCATGGTTTAATCCTGCAGGGGTACAATTATACAAAGGTGAAGAAAAGATTATTTACCACCCTAATCTAAACTCGCGATTAGAAACACCAGAAACTATACTGTGTTCTTCATTGCCACCGAGGACATACTTTCCTCAACCAAGCTGCTTCTAAGGAATAGTCACTAAAGTCGAATTCCAGCCCAGCACACGCGACACCTGTACGGGAAAGGCCCACAAAGGAACGTGAGCGAGAACGCCGCTCACCCCTTCTCTGAACACACAGACGGTCGTCCACGGCAGGCAGGGCGCTCACACTTGCCGCCTCCGGACGCGAGGGGCTCAGCCCGCCCCCGCCCCCACCCCCACGACCCCCGTCCGTTCCCGTCTGGGGAAAGATCGTCAGCCGGTCTCCGGCGCTGGCAGCGCGGGAGGGGCAGGCTCCGGCGACCACCGCCGGACAGCCGGGCGCTCCCCAGGACGCCGGAGGGGGCGGACACCGCGCCGCGCGGAGGGAGTCGCGGCTGGGAGCAGAGCTGCCACGTTCGCGGGGGGCGGGGGGGGCGGGAGTCACCTTCTCGCGAGGTGACAGGGCAGGGCACGCGGGGGTTCCCGTCGCCTCTCGATGGCGTCACAGGCCTGCGCGGACCCCGACGTTCAAAGGCCCCGGCGCGGCCGCGCACAGCACGGAAGAGGAACCCGCGGGCGAGATGGGCGACACACGCTGGGGGACAGAGGGCCAGCCTCTCTCCTCGGCCCGCTTGGCTGCCTCGTCGCTGGCCTCCAGTCCGCGCCTGCGCTGGCACAGTGAGCCTGCGCAGTGCCGTCTTCATCGCCTTTTCTCCCCAGGCACATTGCAGTCTCGCTGAGCGGCCGCGCGCACCAGGCCACTCAAGTCAGGACTTTTGGCCCGCCCAGTTCGGAGGCACACGCTGTACCTGGGTTTTCCGCCTGCAAAGGGCCCACCCCTCGGCTCGCCCGACGACCATCTTGCCCCGCGCCCCCAGTGTCTCCGTTTGGGCACGCAGGAGCACCTCTCCTCACTCTCGGTCCCCTAACGTCTTGTAGCGGCCATGCTGTGCGGCTCTGCGCGTGCGCCGGGCCTCTCACCCCCTTCAGCCTCCCCTAGCCGTGCGCGGCTCCGGTACCACGCTCTGCGCGTGCGCAGAGCGTCTTCCTCCCAGCCGTCTGTCCCGGACGTCGAGGGGCGCTGTGCTCGGCTTTGCGCGTGCGCTGAACCGCACCTTATCCCAGCGGTTTATGTGGCAGCATCTTGGAGAGCTGCGGCTCTGCGCTCCTTCTGCGCGTGCGCGGCCTGATTGACATTTTAGCGTCTGGGTTTGCACCTCTAGCTGAGGGTGCTCACACACACGGTGCTTGCAGTTTTTTATTTTAAGCATAAGGTTTCTCCAACAAGGACGTCACAAGAAAAAAAAGATTTATTTATTTGAGAGAGAGAGAGCGTGAGCTGGTGGAGGAGCAGAGGTAGAGTCTCCAAGCAAACGCTCGGCTGAGCGCGGAGCCCAATTCCGTCTCACAACCCATGAGATCATGACCGGAGCTGAAATTAAGTCAGATGCTTAACCTACTGCACCACCCAGGTGCCCCACACTAATGCTCTTTTTTGAACATATTTATGACGGGTCACTTTAATGTCCTCCTGGTGGCCTCCGTACCACTGATCATCTTGGCTCATTTAGGTTCTAAAAACCCGAGGCCAAGGAAGGTCCTTGCTGCCTTGTGGGGTCTTTGTATTGTTAGCTGGGGAGGTCGTTTCTCCCAGGGGGTCTCAGCGCCAGGAGCCCCTCCTGGACTTTGTGGGGTCAGGAACCTGGGGAGTGGGCGGAGACCCCTCAGGGCAAGTTCACTAACATGCTCAGCACCAGAAGGGACTGTGGGAAAGTTCCACTTTTAGATAGGGAAGCTGGTCCTGGGGTGTGAACTAGGGGTGTCCCAGGGATGCCTGCTTGGCCAGAGTAAGTCCCCACAACCTTTGCTCCAACCCCAGCTCTGAGACCTTGCCCTCCAAAGGGCAGCCTTTCTTTGATGGCCCTCGTGGATGCATGGTGATTCACAGTCCAGGAAGTGGGGTAGGAGAGGCTGGGTCAGAAAAGCCAGAGAGCATGGCCCTGTGTGGGGTACAGAAGGGCCAGTGTCAATCGGGGGTGGGGGGGGATGCTAAGTTAACCTGCACAATAATGGGGAGAGAAGGTATGTGCCATGGCCAAACAGACTCTGTGCAGTCTGGGGCTGAGGGGTCAGAGTGATGCCTCCTTTTCCCTTTGGTTGGGAGATGGCCTGGGTGGGGCTGCAGAGACTCCTCCTGTTCAGAGTTTGCCCACCTTGAAGGTGCCCCAGAGCTACTTCACACCCCACGCCCCCTGAGGTGCCCACCCATCTCACCACTTGTATATCTTGAGATTTGGGGGCTGTGACTATGGGATGCTTGGGTATTGGGATGAGGAGGGGGTGGGAGGTATGTCTTGTCCTAACCACAGTATATGCAAGAATGATGTATTAGTACAAGACAATGAAAACAAAGGCCAGAGAATCACGGCCAGGCTGCAACCCAGTGCTTGGAATGAGAACGAGCAGTTTAGGCCCAGGCTGAAATGTAGGCTGGGAGGGAGGACCTCCAGGAGGAAGGCAGGGGACCTGGCACCTCCAGGGTGGGGAGGGGTGAGAGCGACTTGGACCTGGCAGATTGAAGGGGCCCAGGCAGCCAAAGCAAAGTCCCCATAGGCAAATTTGAATGTGTCCTGCATTACAGATAAGAGCAATATTAGACCAACATAGATATGTTATCCGTCCCAGAATGTTGCCTGGAATTTCTATTATGATTTGGTTTTAGATTATATTTCTGCTTGATCTGTCTCTTTCTCTTAAAAATGGAATACAACATGGTAATTCTGGCTATCTCTGTCCTGGTTCATCAAGATTTTAGTGCACTAAGATTTTATTGGCTAATTAAATTAATTGTAATTCTGGGATACTTAATAATGCCATTATGCAATTTTCTCTGTTGCCCATGAAGAATGAGATCAAGCGCATGTGGCACGGACAGGATCTGTTCCTCATCGGCCACTCTAATGGGGTCACATAAAGTAGCCCTGGGTGGGAAGGCCCAGTCACTGAACTGCCTCCACAGCCCTTGCAGAAGCCCCACACTCAATTCTGGGGAGTTGAAAGCACTTTAGAGATCAAGGGAATAATGAGAGACATAGATGAGACAGCTCACAGAATCCGCTAGCACGATTTTTTTTTTTAAGATTTTATTTATTTATTTAACTGACAGAGAACTAGAGAAAGAACACAAGCAGGGGGAGTGGGAGAGGGAGAAGCAGGCTTCCCCCTGAGCAGGGAGCCCGACACGGGGCTCGATCCCAGGACCCTGCGATCATGACCTGAGCCGAAGGCAGCCGCTTAACCGACTGAGCCACCCAGGCGCCGCTAGCACGATCTTTTAAAGATCCATCAGCAACAATGTCAAGCCCAGATGGCTTGGTCCTGAGTTCCCTCATCATCAATATAGCTTTTATCCTGGTTCCTCTGAATTATTTGTGCAGAAAATTGGTTTTGCCTAGCTGGAAAGACCTGTTTATATGCACATTTCTTTTTAGACAACCCCTCTATTGTCACAGATTTTTTTCCTATTTTTGAGTAATTCCTGGGAATAACACAGAAGAGGCAGTAGAAATGACTGTCACCTGGATGCAAGTCCCAGTTTTTCCTCCAGTGCACTCTCCTACAATGAGATGAGAGTGGAAACTGCTATATTTTTAGATGAAATTTCTTTGGGAAATAGTTTCTATTTTATCAGTAATTCTCTGGCTATTTTTTTTGGGGGGGGGAGCTCTGGCTAATATTGTAAACCAATATTCATAAAGCTACCTAAGAGCTTCGGGATAAATGGATTATAATGGAGAAAAGCTGTTCTCCAGTGCACATTAGAAGCAGGCCTTGGCAAATAAGGGCACAGAGAAGATGCTAACAAACGAGAGGGATGGCTCCCAGGGCCAAGAGAGAGCATCTGAAAACAAGACAGGCGTGAACACATATCTGCAGCGGGACAGCAACAGGGCCTCCCAGGAGAACTGGGCTGTGCTAGCTGATCCCCACACATCTAGGAGCAGTCGGCCTGTCCTGTCCGTCCCCGACAACATGAAGATCTTGGTGCCCTGCCTGGCCCTCTGCCTCTCCAGCTCCCCTCAGATGGCTGTTTTTATATTGCAAAGCTGATAAGGTGTCTCTTTTGTTCCATAACCATAATTAAGTCTCTCTAGGTCTCGGGTGTCTGTGTGGTAGTGTGTTTAGGGCCCAGTATAGCAGTCCCCCCTGCCCCTCTGCAGGCCCAGAAGCATGAACCTGAGCCAGTGGGAAGGAAACATTGCCAGCGCTAAGGCCAAATACTTTTTCCATATGAGCCATTTTTTCTTTAAAATAATGCCACAATTAAATTTCTTTACAGCAATAACTTTATCTCTCAAAATTATAATTGTTGTTCTTTTTTGGTACAAGAGATTAAATAAGGTCAACATATCACAGTCTCCTTCTCAGCAGTCTCTAGGAGGCTGGTTCTTTCCGGTGACCCCATCCCTTCCCTCACCATCCAGAATCTCCAGGACCCCAGCCTGTGGCTACTGCCATCCCTGAGCCGTCCCTTCCTTCCCACAGCCCTGCTCTTCTGGTCTGGGACCTGCTCTGCTCCACATCTGCATTCACAAGGGAGCTGAGAGGTTGCTGCGGCAGGAGCTGAGAAGTGCCAACCGGGCCTACTGCTTGCACCCCAGTGGTCTGGTCTTTCTGGAGACATCTAGGGAAACACTGGTTCATGGGCACTCCTAAGGGGGCAGAAGGCTGGTCCTAGGGGCACGCCACTAGTCCCTGCCCATGACCCAGTGTGGGTGGCGAGGGTTACTTCTGCAAATGCCGAGACCAGGCTGGGCTGTTCACACCCCCAGAGTAGAGATGAAGGACTTTCAGGGTTTTGTGGGGCAGGAGTATTTGCCCAGGCTGCTTCTGAATGGAGCCTCCCACCCCCCGGAATACACAGGGATTGTGTTTGTGACATGGGTGCAACTCACAATGCCCAGGGTAATCCCAAAGATGTAAAGAGCGGGGGAGATAGTCAGGGTAAGTCTGTGCAGCTAGTGACAGTCCCTACAGGCCACTGGCCACAGGCAGCCTCCTCTTGGGACTAGCCCAGGAGACTGCACAGCTGTGCACAGTGGGGCCTCCTGATCGCTTGTGGCTTTTCCTTGGAGTAAGGAGGCAGCCTGTATGGCCCCGTTGGAGTCCTATCAGCAGCTGCAGGAGCTTTCCCCACCAACTCTCCACCATCCACACGGACAGCCGTGCTTTCAGGCTGTAATTATGGAAAAAATAAACATTTTAGGAGACGTTGCAGGATGGGACACTTGCTCTCTCCTGAAGCTGTAAACGTGATGGATGACCCATTGTTGGATGATTATGAAAGATGAACCAGCTTAAATTTCAACAGAACCTAAAATATCATCAATGAGCACAGTCGGCTTAATGGTTCATAAACCAGCTGCTTAATTGTTGTGACACAGAAGGTCGAGAAAGATTGCCTGGCGTTTTTCCAAAAGAGGTTAGCCGAGAACATGGATTTCCTCGTAGCCTTCCGGTTCTTCTTCCTTCGTGTCCTGCAGCCAGTGCTCTGGAGAGTTCCGGACCTGCCTTCTACGCAGGACATGTTTTTCTTGGGCAGCAGCATGGCTGTGCATTTGGGAGCCAAGTGCCGGTGACCAGGCTGGCCAGGGCTCAGCTCACATGGAGTTCAGGGCCCTGCGGGCAAGTGACACAGGCCATCAGAGGGCACGGAAGTTACCAGTGCCTGTGAGCATACAGCACCCCCTGGGCACAGACTCTACCAGGATCCAAAGGCTGGTTGCACAGAGCAGTGATTAAGAGAATGGGCTTGGGACAGGACAGATATGCCATGCACCTGCGGCACGACCTTCGGCAGGGGTAATCACACCCACTTCAGGGGGCCATCAAGAGGTGCGACATAATGAGATGCCTCATGTGAGGAGTGTGCCTAATCCCAGCCCGTGGGCAGGTGGCAGCAACGCATGTCCCTCTTGCAGGTTCCTCTGGCTACGGCTGCCCCCTGGTTCTGTTTCCGTTCAAACCTCAGCATGACAAGCAGCACAAAAGGAAGG